ATAACAGAATATAATTATGCATTAAGTTAACAAAAGTTACGTTATTATCATATCTTTTGTAGCTGTTTAATTTTTTTGTACGAAATTTCCCTTTAAAAATAAGTTTACTAAATAAATCGGTTTGCAAAATTGCGAAAGGTTCCTATTGTAACTTAAATTAAATGATTTTTTTTTGCTGTAGCTTTGAAATTTTTTTTCAATAGAAGCTGTAAAAATGTTTTTACGAGCAGGATTATGAAAGTCCTATGGTGATCTGTGTAAATTTATGCAAATTTAAAATTTCAATAGCAATTTAGTGCTTAGTTGTTTTATGAATATTAGTGATTCTAAATAAGTGACTAAGGAAAAAGTATATTTTTTTCAATAAATGTGACTTCAGCATCATTATAAATATTATAATTATTCTTAGCGTGAAAAAATCATTATTATCGTTATGTGTTCTTTTGAAAGAAAAACTTCAATTAATTCTGCCATAAATGACTGATTCTTTCATTTTTCATGAAAATTCTATACTTTCTAAATTTTAAATGGAATCAAGGGCTCAAAGATTATTTTTCAAAATAAATATGCATTAAAGTTTCAGAAAGACATGTTGAAGATTATTGAATGTCTACTACTTATACTTTAAATAATTCTTTTAATAATTTTAGTATCAGAACCTTGCCTATAAGTCTATGTTATAAAAGAATGATTCGTTTAATAATGATTTAGAATCTTTTTATAACAATATTAAATGTGCCTCTTTATATTTAAATTTTAATATGTGCCTTTGCTGCTTTTTAAGAATACCGAAACTGATGCAATTAACATTTTTTGTATTAAAAAAGGAATAAAATTGTTTAATTTAAAACGTTTTCTTAGAAAAGAAAAGATGATCTGTGTTTTTATAGAAATTATTTGAGAATATGACTTTACTTTAAAGTCTAAAAACATTCACTGCTAAATAACAAAATTTAACAAAATGAGGGCATAACTAATGTTATTATAATAAGAGACGAAAGTTTATTTAAATTATTTATTGAAAATCAAGTTTATCTGCTTAGTAATTTATGATAGCTTTTAAATTCTAGGAACGCTTTAATAGAAAGATTAAAGCTGAAGAAATAATAATCATTATTTTAAAGATGAGGATGTTCATGATTTTATGGAAAAGAAACTTACAAGACGTTTATTAAAATATATTTTTGAAAAGATAGCTTTCTATTAAATATATAGAATTTTTAGCAAAATCTACTGAATGGATAAATATAAAATTTAATCAAACTATTTGAGAAGCAATATTTAGTTAGAAAATGCTTTAATACTGATTGATAAGCATCCAAATCAGATAGAATAAAGTTGTTCATACTCCAAAAGAGGAATCTGCTACTACTAAAATTAGAAACGCTTACTCATTTCATATCTTATTATGACTGAGATTAGCTTTATTCGAGTTTGTTTATTATTTTTGTGACGACACAATCGAACGCTAATGATTCATTTCCCTTTACGACAATAGTTTTAGCAACAAATTTTTCTACATACTATTTTTTATATATTATTTGAGAGCAATTGTTAAGTTTTATTGAGCAGAACAAAAACATATTTTTTCAAAGTACAGTAAAAAGTTCAAATATAATAATTTTTCTTAGTATATTTAATTATTTTGTAATGCAAAATGATTTCTCTTCATGGAATGAATTAATTTGTTACTTGTGGAAGATAATTTAACTTATATTAACTTATAGCTACCGTATATTAACTTAATACTTAACTATTACCTTATAAAACATATAAATCTAGTATTTTACATGTAATCTAGGTAGTGCGCAGATTCACTATATATCGATCCGTTAAAGTACCAAAATAATGTTTTATTTCTCAAATTAATTAAGAAATTCGCAAAATGTTCGGTAATTTGCATATTTCCAACACTGCAAAAAATTTCAGATTAAATTATGGTTACCGGTACTCACAGTGACTGTCCTTTTTACTGTAAAATCCATTTCCATCGAAACATGCTACGGAACAAAAAATTTGCTAATTTTTATAATATTTTATTATATAAATGGATTTTACGGAGGATGAAACCAATTACATTATACTGTAATTTGATCCAAATTTTTTTACAGTGTTCTAAGCACTTGTTAAAGTGAAAATAAGAACTTTGCTGCAACAACAGTAGTAACTTTTCTGAAAGATTGAATTAATGTGATGTTATTTATTTATTTTTCATTACATAGATGATTAAGTTTATGCAATCAAACCATCAACAAACTATCATTAATCAAATTCAAACAAAACTAAAACACAAAGAGTCAAATTGTTTAAAGTATAATTACAATTAAGAATAATGCAATAATTTTATTAATTTATTTTCGATACTTAAACAATGGAGTTAATACAAATAAAAGTCATAAAGTTACTTGGCAGAATATGCTAAATAGCTTTTTAAACTTTAAAGTTTTTGAACTTCAACGGAAAGAGCTAACATTATTTTGGTAAATAGCGGAAAACACTTGATTCTGCACTTTGCGGATCATGTTAGTAAAGCTGTGGATCATTTATTTAATGTGCAGATTAACGGCTTACAGGCTCTAACTGTAGCATTTATATTAAAATCATGAATTATAAAGTGGATATCATACTGTCCAAAATTGTTTTCGGATCTAAGTAAAACAATTTTAGTAGCATTTATAACATACTAAAAATTTTTAGAAATCTACAGGAACGTTCGGAAATATATCAAAGACAATATTCCAGAATTTTAAAAATGACAGAAACAAGCCAGATAAATTTCATTGCTACAAGATTTTTCAAATTGCAAAAGTCAAAACCATATGATATTTTCTGGGAAATTTTTAACTTAGCGACAGACTATAGTGACGTGTTGACATATTGTAATCAAATGTGTACATTCTATATACATCTCGAATCGAAGGTATTTTTGTCAAATTTTAATCTAAAAGACTTGAATATTTTCTGACAATGTTAAGAAGCACATGATTTATTTTGACTTCCATTATGATTCCCATTGATTTTGACTTCCATTATATTGACTTAATTTAAGACTTGATTTATTTTCTGAAAATGAGAATATTATGTTTATATGCAAACAGTTCGCTTGTTTTAAGTTGCTAAATTCGAAAATAATTATGGACATGTTAGGCATATATTGTATTTGTTGCTAAAATCGAAAATAATTATGGACATGTTAGCATATATTGCATTTGTTGCTAAAATCGAAGGTAATTATGGACATGTTAGCATATATTGTATTTATATATTGACAAATGCATAATAATATCAATGAATTAATAGCAAAAAAATAAAAAATAAAAAAAGATAAAATAAATGAATGTTTTGAAATATTTAAAATAAATTTCGAATTTACATGGTAACTTTTTGATAAATGTATTGAATTTTACACGATTGTAAAGTTCTAAAAAAATATTTATCTTGAATTTCTTTAAAACAAATGCATAAAAAGAGCAAACCGAGAGTTACGTTAAAATTGAAAGCTTTTTTAAAGGAGCTAAGAAAAATATTAGCGGAATTTAGTATAAAAAGAAAGATACAAGGTGTTCTGCAATCACTGCTCTTAGTATATAAAATTAGTATTTGTGACAAAAGTAGGATAAAACTGTACATATTAGGAGTCACATACTAACATTGAAGCCAAAAAAAAGCAAGAAATCTATCAAAATATTACAAATCAGTAATGAAAAATATGGAATTAGACACTAAAATCAGTTTGATTGCTAGAGGAAAAAGGGAGGATTAAAAAACATCTTTAAGTTTAATGATCACCACATTTCGAAATTCTGAAGTTTTCCTCACCCAATTCTTTGTGACTCCCATTGCAAGTAGAAATACTTCGTTTCTGGAAAATAGTCTTAAAAACCTACATTAAGAGTGGGAATTAAGGTACACCCTATATATATAATAAATTACAGGGATTCTTAATATTTTAAACACAGGTTAAATTAATCTTGAAAATTCATTGCTTGTCAATCTTAATTTAAAAAAAATCTCCGAAAGTTTTTTTTCTTAACATTTGCATTTTTTTCTTAACATAACATTTTCTTGAGTGGGATAACTCACAAATTTCAGTTTGTTCTAAAAAATCGAAAAATTTAGTTTTGTTTACGTAGTATTTAAAATTATTATTTTTTATAGTATACAAAATGACCCGCTTCGTAACATACAAAATAAGCATCGGGGCATCGGGATTCCGAAAAAGGCATTAATTTAGTTTCTAATCTGGTATTTTGCATTAAGATCTTTTAAATACAAAAATGTACACATTTATATCACATTCACATTATATTAAAAAGGAAATGAGAGAGTTTCGAATAAAAATGTCAATTTTAGAGAATCATTTCTAACAAAAAAGAGGAAAAAAATAAGAAAGATAACTAAAAATATGCAAGAAATTAATTGGCAAAACTGAATTTTTAAATTTTATTAAAAACACTGATAGTCAAATGGGTAGATTGGTAAGGAAAAAATAAATCAAATTGTTTTCAGAAATATGCCAAATAGAAATTACTATCAGCTAAGTAATTTTAACGTGAATGGATTTTTAATTCTGTTTAAAGATTTCCGAAAGGATTTTTTATAAATACATATTTTTATTTAATTATTTAAATATGATTACATTATTCATAAACAAACTTATTTTAAAAAAATGAGCAAATTTAATATGCTAAGCTTTCGAACACATTATTTTCATACAAAGCATCAATCATCTGAAAAAATATATTAAGGAAAAACTTATCGCAAATTAAAAAAAAAATTTGCCTTATGAATACCATTTACCACTTTGAAATTATCAGTAATCACACAAACGTTTTTTTAAACTCTGTTATAATTTTTATTAAAATTCATATTTTTAGCCAATTTATGGTAAAAAAAAGTTTGTGAATTTTTTGAAAGTGGAATTTTAATTTTAATGTTAAAAACGAAATTCATTAATTATTAAATAAAGAAAGAAAAAAACAGTGCAAAATATGACTTGCCTTTTCTGATGGCATGATTTGATGATTATCAGAAGAATAAGACCCTAATGATTTAAGTAATTCTTGCAATTTTCTATCTCTTTCAGCTAATAAATTAAAATTGTCCTGCCTATTGTCCGGCACTCCACCGGCCAATTCGCACCATAGCAGCACGACGCAAATCACTGCCCTCAACCTATACATCCGGCACCATTCCATACAGCAAAGTGAATTAACAATATTGGTCCAGCCATAAAGTCTGGCACTGTATCAGTGCAGTCCACATGGAGTGAAGAGTCCGGCAATTTCTTAAGTGTTCCGATGATGTTTTTCACTCGGTAGACAGATCAGTCTGAACATTCTCTTGCCAAGTGAAAACTTTCCCCGCATCACTAAGAAAAATAAAAAAGAATGGATAAAAAGTTGAAAAATTGGTAGAAGGAGGGTTGCCTTTGTATGACAACTAGCGTTTTATTTGGCGGAATTTGAATCATGAAAAGTGTTAAGTGTAATATAATGTGTTTGTTGTAAATTACCATTAAAAACAAAGAAATTTTTTTTAATAGCTTTATACATTTTAATTTAATAAAATAGCGTTAGTTACAGTTATAATAGTTTTAACAATAAAATTATAGTTTTACTTGATGGAATTTGAATCATGAAAAGTGTTAATTATAATATAATGTGTTTGTTATAAATTAACATTGAAAACAAAGAAAAAAAAATTTTTTTTTTCACAGCTTTATACATTTTAATTTAGTAAAATAGCGTTAGTTGCAGTTATAATAGTTTTAACAATAAAATTATATTTTTACTTGACAGAATTTGAATCAGTAAAAGTGTTAATTGTAATATAATGTGTTTGTTATAAATTACCATTAAAAACAAAGAAATTTTTTTAAAAGCCTTATACATTATAATTTAGTAAAATAGCGTTAGTTACAGTTATAATAGTTTTAACAATAAAATTATAGTTTTACTTGGCGGAATTTGAATCATAAAAAGTGTTCATTGCCATAAAGTGTTATTTTTTATTATCATTTTTAAAAGTAACGTCTTTTCTTCTTTTTCTTTTTTTAAAATTGCACAGAAAATCTTTTTAAATTTTTTTTAAATTGCACAGAAAATTTGTTTTTAAGTAAAGCTGAGTTACTTACGGTAATAGTCGTTTCAAAAGCAGAGTTACAATTTTAATTGATGGAAGTTGAATCGGGAAAAATGTTAATTCTAATGCAATGCGTTTTCTATTACCACCTTTAACAGTATAGAAAAAAAATTATAATGCATGGTACAATTTAAATTTAATAAAGTATTTTTAATAATAGTTGTTTTAATAGCAAAATTTTACTTGTTGAAAGTTAAATCGTGAAATGTGTTAATTGTAATAGAAGGTGTTTTTTTATTATCATTTTAAAAGTAAAGAGAAAACAGCTTCTTAAAATTTTCAATAAATTTTAATTAAATGAGGTATTATCAGTAACAGTACTTTTGATTGAAAAATTACAGTTTTACTCATTAGAATTGGAGTTGTGAAATGTGTTAATCGTAATATAATATGGTTTTTATAATCATTTTTAAAAGGAAAGGAAAACTGCTTTCCAGAATTCTCAATAAATTTAAATTTGATAAGGTATAATTAGATACAATTTCAATTTAATAAAGTAGAGTTAGTAATAGTAGTAGTAGTTTTAAAAGAAAAGTTTCAGAAGTTAAATAGTGAAGAGTGTTAATTATAACATTATGTTTTTTTAAAAATTACTTTTACAAATGAAGAAAAAACAATATTTAGAATGCTTTGTACATTATAATTTAGTAAAGATGCGGTAGTAAAAGTGATAGTTGTTTAAAAAAAATTACTGTTTTACTTGACTGAAGTTGAATGAAGAAAAGTGTTAATGGAATATAATATGTTTTTTACTATTACTTTAGGAAGTAAGGAAAAAAATTTTATGTTAAATCACAGAACAACTTTAATAAAGTAGTGTTAGTAATAGTAGTTTTAAAACAAAAGTTTTAGTTTTTCTTGATGGAAACTAAATCGTAAAAAGCGTTTATTGTAACACAGAACAACTTTAATTTAATAAATCTTCTTCTTCTTCTTTGCCAGCGCAACAGCCCCTTGTAGTCCTTGGCTGCCTCAGAGCTGACAAACGCCAGCTCCCCCTATTCATGGCAACTCCGTTCCAATTTCTGATCTTTAGGGTTTTCAAGTAATTTTTGATGTCCTTGAGCCATTGAGTAGGTGGTCTACCTCTGGGACGTAATTCCTCGGGGTTCTTATAGGTGGCAATTCTCATGGCACTATTTTCAGGGCCCAGCCATCTCATACTATTACTGCGGATTATTTGTGCAAATTGGGGATGCTTATAGAGTCTGTAGAGCTCGAAGTTAATAAATAGGGTTAATAATGGTAACAGTAGTTATAAAATCGTAGTTTCAGTTTTGCTTGATGGAAAATGATTCGTAAAAAGTGATGTTAATTGTATTACAATGCACTTTTTATTATTACTTTTAAAAATAAAAAAGTTTTTCAGAATTCTCAGTAAATTTTAACTTTATGCAGTAGTGTTATAGTAATATTAGCTTTAATATCAAAATTACAGTTTTAACGGATTGAAGGTGAATCGTGAAAAGTGCCAATTATAATATAATCGGTTTTTATTAGGAAAAAAAAACAGATTTTTAAAATACTCGGTATATTTTAATTTCATAAAATCGTGTTAGTAATAATTGCTTTCTTTCCAAAGTTACAGTTTTATTCGGAGGAAGTTGAATCATAAAAATTCTTTCTATTATTGTTTTTATGTAGTTTTCGTATTAATTTTGACTATTTTGTATAAAATTTTGAATAATTATTAGCTGATTATGCCTTTATACCTTTTACATTTTTCAACATTCGTTGCTCTTGTATTAAGTCACCATCTGAAAATACTTAAAATGTCAAACGTAATGTCGGTGAGTCTAAACATTTAGCAAAGCGCTTCATTTTATATTAGTTTAGTCAATGTATTCATGTCAAAATTCATATTTTTGCAATGCTTTTCTTTTTTAACAATTGAAAATTTTTTGTTACAATATTAAATACTATTAAGAAATTGCTTCATGCCGCATATTTCTGAACTATTAATTTCTTTTTATGTTTTTTTTTTTTGACGGTGACTATAATGCGAGAATAACCAAGATTAAAAGAAAGAGGGAAATGTTGTTTAAATTAATTTCATAACTAAGTTTAATGCATCACCATAAAAGTATTAATTGTTAAAAACGAATATGTCTATGAAGAGAAAAGGCTCCAGAATCATTAATTTAAATATGGATATAATCCATCATCCCAATATAAAATGTGACGCTTTGTTGACTTCTTAGATACACAAAATATCTAGATGACATTTTAAAAATAATTGATGGTGTAAACTCATTAAAGCGAGTTGTTCATTTCACTAATGAGAATTTGATATTTTAATGGTTATTTGATGCTCATTAGCACTACTTTTAATGACCGCTTAGTCTTCTTTAAAGTTTAATTAGAAATTATTACAGAAGAAACTTCATTTAAATTAATTACGAGGAGCAATTAATTATACGGACTTTTCAACCCCAGACTTGAATCCCTGATTAGTGGCTTATCAAGGATTTAATATAATCTCTTTATTCAAGAGGTTTTGAAAATAATGTCAGGAAATTTTTATGAAGCTTTTAAAAACACATAAATTATTAAGATTCCTAAATTTAATATAAAGGTCTTTAGTCTCAAAAGGGATATATTTCACTGATTTTTTTAATGAATCTAATTTATTCTCCGGCATGATTTTGAACAAATGTTTAATTTTGTCTACAGTTTAAAAGTTTTTAATAGTATCCTTGAAAAATAAATATATATAATTTTGAATAGTGAAAATATATTCAAACTCTTACATTAAGGTTGAAGAAAAACATTTCATTTTGTTTATTCTCCAGCACTGCAAAAAAAATGGGTACTCAAATATCGCGAAACTTTCTTCATTTTTGACGAAACCTTTTCCTGGATATCAAAGTGACAAAATAACTATCGTCAGTACTCAGAAGAAGCAAATTTTGTCAAAACGAAAGAAATATTCAGTCATATTTATTACAAAAAATTCAGCACCTGGTTGCCTAAAGTATCTATTTTTTCCCACTGATCATTTTATTATGGGCACCATATAGGTGTAGCATTGTTGCACTAAATATTCAAGAAAAAGCTGACCGGCCTGTGTAGGGGTTAGGGAACTGTCATTGCATCAGAAAGGTTCTGGGTTTGAATTCCGGGCAAGGCATGGATGTTTTTTCCTTGTCTGTACTATCTGTCCTTACTGTGGAAGCAACGTTGGCCCACCTAATATGGTGCCCCTGAAAGAGTAGCCAACAAATCTGCTCTTCAGGTGCCTGTATGACTTAGGTCATTATCTAGGTGTGCATTGGAAAAAAAATATTCAAGAAAAACATAGAAATAAATTACACTCATGCCAGAAGTTGGATTTGATCCCGGGATCTTCTTAATACGATTCCATCTCCCGTATCACAATGTAGCCGGTCAGCTTACTTTATTTTCGATCATCTAGTCTTCTTTCTACTTAAAAATTTCCCGCAAAGCGTTACGATGAAGCTTAGAGTTGAAGAAACATTTTCGTCATTTATTTGAATGTTCGCGTTTTGTTACAAATTACATGATTTCGTGGCTGAATTATTTTTAAAATGTGGGGGCTTAAATGGGGGGGGGGCAATGATAAGTGGGGACCAATCAATTTAGGAAGACCCTAACTTTTAGAAGAAAGAAAATTTCGTACTTTTTCCAACCTACTAAAAATATATATAAAAGTGAAAAAAAGTTTTCTGTAAAGTGCTGAAATAGGTACTAATCTAGGTCTTATTGTTATAAACTATTTTTCAATTTTAAGTCAGTTAGTATAAGATACTGTCAGTCAGTATAGGGTCGGTTATAGGGTCAGTTAGTATAGATAGGTTACGCATAAGATAAACATGAATAATTTGAAAAATTTAACTCAGAATAATTACTAAACAATCAGTAATTATTTTAAAATTGTTGTTTGTTTACCGGATCATCTATTTATTTATTAGTTCTTAAAGATGGTAATAATTATTGATCTTTTAGGTTAATATCATATATTCTCGTACGAAATGTTAATTTTATTATTTTCAGCTATCATTTCTTCACAATAACCAGTGTATCCAAACCTACAAACATATCTGACATAATCGTGTAAAATTGAAAAATTGCTTCATCGTGTAAATCTTCAAAATTCAATATTATTAAAGTAGTTGCATTGCTACAGATTATTGTAAGAATTTTTTTGTACTTCTATTATAAGCCTTTAAATTATAAGCCATTTTTTGTAAGCCTTTTTTCGTCTTCTTTTGTTATTAATGG